GCCAACCCGGACCTCGTCGCTCGGTTTGAGAAGAACGCGCCGCTGAACCAAGGCAACCCCAACACGTACTTTGTCCAAAGCCTCGAAGGCTACAACGACTACCCGACGCTCGAAGAGGCGACGGCGTAAGCATTTGACATCGTTTTAGCTAACATCAATGGATCCAACTTTATTCATCAATAATGCGTTAGCTTATACAAGATCGCTTGCGGTGAACGTATGGTGGTCGAACGAGACGCAGCAGAGAATGTTGCGGCTCTTGAGGCGCGTGGGACCGTGCTGAGTATTTCCGACGACGATTTCAATGTACAGGGCAGGATATGGGACTCGAGGGACGGCCGCTACGGTCTGAATGAGACCTGTACACTGCCTCAACTGCCACGGGGACTTTCCACCCGGCAAATGCACAAATACAAAGGCGCGCCGCGTTTGTAGTTTGAAATATGGATGCGGGCGGAGCCTTCGCGCCGAAATCGGCACAACAAACGACAAAACATCTGTTTTTGAGGAGCAGCACAGAGATCCTACGCGTGCTAGAGTATTGCAATAGGTACCACGCGACCATTTTTACCTTTACCGTCCTATCCCATCCAGTGCTGGATAGCTGCTCTGAATACAGTAGCCGTCAGCAGTACTGCCACTGTCGTTTGGGGGTGTCAGCGATGAAGGACTCGTCGCAGTGCGCAATGCAATCGAACTGATTGCACTGATCCTTGACAACACAGTGAGAGATCCATCGCGTTGACGTTCAGCAACACTTTCAACTACCAACTGCATGGCGAGTAGCGCCCAGTCTACACGAAAATACCTTCTCTAAGAGCATTCGTTTCTCTATCGCCTCGCAGACAGCATGATCGTTGCGCCAGAAGGAAGACCTTCCCGCCGACGTCGGCACCGCGTAACTGCGTCCGGAGACGAGGCGTGCGTTACGCAACCTCATCCACGCCACGCGGTGCAATTCTAGTTCTTAGTATCTGTTTACGTGGTAAAGATGTACAACCGAAACAACCCATCCTCGACGTCTTCAAGTTTGTATACCGCCATTGGATCCGAAATTTTCAAGCCTTCTGATGCACCCTCGAGTACGATATGACCACAATTTCTTGACTCGACTAGATCCCGACAACCAAAGTAGGTGCAGATCCCCCCAGGCTTCGACTGCATCACAGCTCTGCGACGCAACCCAAGCGTTTACACGGCCTCCAATTCACTCACTCCAAGCTCATTTTCCAATTCAGCTCCTTGACAACAACCAGCAAGCATGCCTGCCAACAACCTCTTTACGCCCCTCAAGCTCGGCCGCCTCGAGCTCGCCAACCGCATTCTCATGGCACCGCTCACGCGCTGCCGTGCGACGCCCGGCGACCACATCCCGACCGACGCCATGATCCAGCACTACGCGGACCGCGCTGCCGCTGGCCTCATCATTGCCGAGTGCTCGATGATCGCGCCCAAGACGTCGGCCTTCTACTCGGATCCTGGTGTCTATGCGCCCGAGCAGTTGGCGGTGTGGAAGAAGATCACGGACGCGGTCCATGCCAAGGGCGGCAA